GAAAAAGACATGCAGACGTTGCCAAGTCCTGTACCACAGCACCAAAGAGGCCTCGTGCTTTGGTACCAATGCCACAAAAGTTGGTACAGTCCGCTATGACCTACTCAGGCCCCCAACCTCTAGCCATGGGTACCAAGCAACCATCCAGAGGGCATCACAAACAGACACCGGTACCAAGTCAGCATCTACCACCACAAGCTCACTAGATGCCCACGGCTCCAGTACCGTGTTCCTCTAAGTCTCTTCATGCTGTGCCTATTTCGCCATCTCCCTTCTATGGGCCATCTTCTCCTGCTCCCTCTTCATGTTCTCTTTCATTGCGCTCTTCTCTTTCGGTACCGGACCAAGGGTCCATCCCAAACCTCCCAACACCGGATTCTGACAGCGATCGCAGTGAACTGTCCCCTTTGGATGATTTTTCATCCTACTCGCAGCTCATACTACAAGTTGCCAAATTACTTGACCTAGATGTCAAACAACATCCTCTACTTCAGACTGACAAGGTATACGAGAATATCAGTAACCAGCAGCCTCTTCCTCCAAGTATGACTTTCATACCATCATTCCTCGAACTTAACATGGAGACATGGCCTAAATCATCCTCCATGGTCGCACAAGGTGGAGAACTTTTACAGGACTCATGGAAACGATACCACGTTCTTCTATAAACACCCGTCACCTAATTCACTCATCGTAGACGCGATTCAGAGTAGACTATGCAGCTGCTCCTCCATGACCCCCAGTAACAAGGATGGGAGGAAACTAGATGTTGCAGCTCATCGGGTTTACTCGCTTACCTCATTCAACCTTCGCACTGCCAACTACATTGCAGCAATGGGAGCATACCATCGCCGTCTATGGTCCCAGGCCCTCCCATCTCTCCAGTCGGCCTCATATTACAAGACACAAGGACTGGCATATCACCAAGAAGCCATGGCTCTTGCTCGCCAGAAGAGGATAACAGCTAGACACATTATTGATTCCTCAGCCAGACAACTGGTAGCAGCAATAGCCTTCCGCAGGTATGCCTGGCTCAAATCTGCGCAAATACCAGATGACATTAGAATGCAGATTGAAGACTTACCATTCAATGGCTTTGGCCTTTTCGATGACAAAACTGATGACATACTGGAAAACCTAAAAAAAAAAAAATTAAAAAGACAGTGTGATCATACAACACGCAGCAACAATATTGACCATACAGAACACAATGGCATCATCCTTACCAATACCAATAATCAAGGCTATATTATGATAGAAATAGACAATCTACACACACTGCCATTTCTTTCCAACAAAGGAATACTATGCAGCGACAGAGGCCCAAACAATCTTTCCGTCGTCCGGAAAAGAAACAAAAAGAGTCTTTGACTTTGCCTTGACTCAGATCCGCCCTCCCTCCCTCCTGTACCCAGCACCAGGTTATCCCCACACCTCCCAGTCTGGACTTCCATCACATCAGACACCTGAGTACATACCATCGTAGCCATTGGCTATGCCATAGAATTCACACACTTACCACCTCACAACTTCATCATAACATCTCCATCCGATGTCCTTCACCAAGAGATCCGGTCCCTCGTCTCAAAGGACACTATTTCAACCGTCACCGTCATAGAAGACCACCCAGGTTTCTTCTCTCAGTAGTTTACCGTCCCATCCTCAATCTAATGGAGACCCATCCTCGATCTAAGGGATCTCAACTATTACATCTATTCCAGATGTTTCCAGATGGTCACTCTAGAATGAATACTGCCCATACCTCAAGAAGGCAATTGGTACCCTGTCATAGATCTCAGTGACGTGTACTTTCATATTACGATACGCCACCAGCATTGAAAATACCTGCGGTTCGCCGTAGGAGAACATGCCTTCAAATTCAATGCCCTCCCCTTCGGTCTCTCCACGCCGCCAAGAGTATTTACACAAGTGTATGGCTCCCGTGGCAGCGCACCTCCATACACTGGGAGTTACAGTCTTTCCTTATATAGACGACTAGCTAGTATTCGCTCCATCCCGCTCACAAGCCTTAGAGGACATTCACGTCACTCTTTCCCTTCTGGCGGATCTGGGTCTCAGAATCAATGAGCAAAAGTCCATTCTTACGCCCACCCAGTGCATTACCTACATCGGCATCGAGTTAGATTCCACGCAGGCGAGAGCCTTTCTTCCCCATGAAAGACTCATAAAAATCCACACCCTACTACGGCAATTCCACCCATACGTTCTTGTCCCGGCCCACACCGCCCAACATCTTCTCGGCATAATGGCCTCAACAACTTCTACCATTCTCCACACCAGATTGAAACTTCGCTCCCTTTAATCCTGGTTCCTCACACTCTTCAACCCCATGAAAGACAACCAATCCAAACTTTTGCGATTAACGCCAGAACTCTCTTCCCAACTTCAGTGGTGGGACACACCATGCAACCTCCTCATGGGTCGCTCCTTCTCCCCTCTACAACCCACAACTCAAATTGTGACAGAGGCCAGCATTACAGGATGGGGTGCTCACTGCAACGAACTAAAGATCCACGACCAGTGGTCACGCAAAGAACAAATGCTCCACATAAACAACCTAGAGCTTCTCGCCATTTTCAAAGCTCTCAAAGCCTTTGAACCACTCATCACAGGCACCGTCGTACAAATCACTACAGACAACACAACAGCTCTCTTTTACCTCAACAAACAGGGAGGCGCCCGCTCCCCTCCCTCCTTTATCTAACTGTTCAAATATGGGAATGGTGTTTGGAGCGCCACATCTTTCCCATGGCAGTCTATATAGCCACACACGACAATACGATGGCAGACAAACTCAGTCACCTCAGTACTGAAATGCATAAATGGTCGCTAGACCACACAACATACCTCAACCTGTGTGAACGTGGGGAACTCCCAATATCGACATGTTTGTGACCCCCAGCAATACCAAGTGTGACATCTTTTACTCCAGAGGAGGAGTCGGACATGGTTCCATGGGAGATGCTCTGATGGCAGATTGGTCCAACGGCCTCATTTACTTGTTCCCTCCCTTCCTGTTCCTTCTGCGCACCATAGCCAAAATCAGGCTGAACCACACCAACGTGATCCTGATTGCCCCATAGTGGCCCAGGCAGCCGTCATTCACGCTCCTCAAAACACTGAGCAGCACCACTTTCAATTGACACCAGTCCCACACCTGCTCTCAAAACAGCAAGGCCAAACACACCACCCAGACATATGGACCCTCAACCTCACAGCTTGGAGGATCTCACCTCAGAAAATGAAATCCTGGCTCATGCACGTAAGCCTTCCACAACTAGTCTGTACTTCTACAAGTGGTCTGGCTTCAAAAAATTTGCTACACAACTCAGTTTACCAACCTCACCTATGAATCCTGACACTGTTCTCGGATTTCTATCCCACCTTTTTCATAATCACCTATCTCTTTCAACATTGACAGTCTACCTCTCTGCAATCATCGCTCATCAACCACAATCCTCAGACACCTCCATGCTGTTCTGTCACCCAAAAGTCGAGCAGTTCTTGCGAGATATTGCCAACATGCTCCCTGCTGCTCCTTCACCACCTCCGCAGTGGTCCCTTTCTCTAGTGCTGCACTGCCTCTCTCGTCCTCCTTTTGAGCCACTGGCAACTGCGTCGGAATACCTTCTTTCACTAAAGACGTTGTTCCTTGTTGCCATCACCTCTGCACGTAGAGCTTCGGAACTGGCCGCGTTGTGGACCGACCCTGTCTTTCTCCAGTTCCACCCCAAAAAGGTTACTTTATTCCCGGATGTCTCATTCTTGCCTAAGGTGGTGTCAATGTTCCAGCTTATTATTCTCCCCACGTTTTTTCCGTCCCTGTCAACGGACCTCGAAAGGTCATTACATTCACTAGACGTAAAGAGGGCCCTATCCTTCTACCTCTCCAGAACGGTCTCTTTCAGAAAGTCTAAGAGACTCTTTGTTTTGCCACACTCTCCTCACAGGAGATCCCATGTGTCTTCACAGACTATTTCTGGGTGGTTGGTCTCCACTATTAAGCTAGCATACCAGATTGCCAAGAGACCATTACCTGATGGCATCAAAGCTCATTCTACTAGAGCCACTGCTACCTCTGCAGCTTTCCTTCGTGGAGTTCCCCTCCCAGAGATTTGCAAAGCTGCCCCAGGGTCTATGCCATTCACATTTGCCACCCACTACAGAATGGACCTGAGGGCCAGGGCTGATGCCTCCTTTGGTCGGGCTGTGCTGTCTTCAATCATGTCGTGACGTCCCTCCACCTCTGAGGTAAGCTGGTCAGTCACCCATTAGTGTGTATTCATAGAGGCCACAAAGAAGAAAGAGAGATTACCTACCTGTAACTCTGGTTCTTCGAGTGGTCATCTGTGAATTCACACTTCCCACCCGTCCTCCCCTCTGTCCATCACTCTTATGTTAATTATGCACCGGCGGACTACCTTGAGAACTGAGGTACCTGGAGGGCGGGCAGACCATGTGGATGGGAGGGGGCAGTCCTACTTAGATTAGCATAAAGCTCTAGAATATTCCAGAGATCTCTGCGCCAGCACAGAGTTAACCCATTAGTGTGAATTCACAGAGTACCACTCGAAGAACCAGAGTTACAGGTAGGTAACCTCTCTATTTCTGTCCACTTCTGCTGAGGCTCTTTGCATGTTGTTTCCTGTTACTTCTTTCTAACAGGCAGGAAGTGGTTTGCTTCTTCAAAAGCTATGTCTTTTAACTCTTTCACCTCTGAATAGCATTCTGTTGATAACCTGATTCTGAGAGAGAGCATAGTTCTTATTTTCTACAATAACTTGGTTCTCTGTTTTGATATTTTGAGACTCTTTAATGCTGATCCCTTATATACTTGAACATAATATTTTCATGCTCTCACTGAATCTCTCAGTGATGTTTCTTTTTCCCTTGTCCAGTGCCTCTCGTTAGCACCCAGATCTACTTTCCTCTTCCCTTGCTGCTCTCTGTTCCAACTATTCCCCTGACGTTTCTTACAGAAGTGGCAGAAGAACTTGGAAGAACAGCATCCTCTTCATCCATAGTTCCATATTTGCCCCGATTACCCATGCTTCCTTCCAAGACCAGGACCTTGAAAAAACAAGCAGAAAACAAAGAAAATATTGAAGGAACTCAGGATACTGTAGACTTTTCTGCTTCCAGCTCTGCACCAGGTATGCCGTTTATATATGTAAACAAAAATCTGAGTCTTTATAAGCAACTTCATAAATAAATTATCCACAGGTCCAGATTCTGCCCCTCTGGAAGCAATGTCCCCAAGATCAGATTGGCTCTGGACTGGTTATAGCTCCTTCATCTTTGTGCCAGTCTTTTCATCAAGAAACATGTGTTATTGTATGAATGGGCCTGTACTCAGGATTTGGCCTTTCTCTCCTCCCTGATGCCCAGTGCCTTGCAATGTCTCCCAGATGCACAGAAGGCTTTGAAGCTGGGCATTTGTTCCACCAGCGAAGTCCATTTTGTTGCCAAAAACTCATAGTTGGACACAGTCTTTTGCCGTTTTGATGAAGGAAGGGAAACTTGTACCTAGCCTACTACTGTGCCAGCATGCTGGACAATTTTAGGTATGACAGGGTACTGAAAGAACAGGAGGAGAGAGCATAAAGAGAACAGACATAGGTATAGTTGATCTGAACAAACCGCTTACCACCGTCAGTGTCTTATCAATCTCAGCCACACCACAGAAAACAAAGAGGACTTGGGTAAATCACTGCTGCATGCATTTTTACCTTCAAATCTGTTAGAAAGCATACTTGGCATCGTCATCATTAAAACAGGACTGAGGTCACAATGAGCAAATGTTATTGTTTCAATTTTCAGGGAGACAGGAAATAAGTCCAGAATAGGAAATCCTTGTCCCCCAGGCTTAATCTTCTCGGTTCCTCATACTTTCTGATTTCTGTGATATAGGAAAATTAATGCCTAGTTCTTTAAGCATTTTTTAAAATGGGTAAATAAGTTGGCTGATTTTTTTCCCCTGTCGATGTGGCCATTATCCTTGACAATATATTGACTCCTTAAACAAATTTTAAAAGGGTTATTTAAGCCAGTGGTTCTTAACCTTTTTGAAAGAAACACCCCCCTGAGTAATTGAGGAAGTTATCATTGCCCCCTCCCTGAGCGATATCTTATTTGTTTGTTTGTTTATTCAAGACACTTAAATCCGATGACCCCTGAAAATAAAATTCGATTGCAAGGAAATGAAATGCCTGAAAAAAACAGTAACATTTAATAATTTAGTTACAAGTGAATTTTAAGACACAAAAAGAAATATAAAAAGGGCATAAAAACAAACCGCAATGCAGGAACTAAAAATTTCAAGATGAAAACTCTGAAATTAAATTAAGATTCGAGGAAAATATATATTCATGCACACTATAAAAAGGGTTAAAAAGACACAAGTAAAATGTTTAAGAAGGAAAGCAACAAAAATCAGAGCGACAAAATATATATACACAAAAAGTTTACACGAAGAGCACAACCAAAAAAAATATTGAAACCTTAAAACCGAGAAACCAAAATATTATATCGAACTGGAGTGCACGTTAAAAAAGTACAATACAAAGAGACACTCAAAATATTTTACAGAGCACAACAAGAATTCAAAAACGAAGCAAACATCGTCACACTATATAAGAACAATGGAGACAGGGGCGACTGCAATAACTACCGTAGCATCTCTCTTCTCAGCATTGTAGAGAAGCTGCTTGCCCGTGTTGTGCTGAAGAGGCTGCAGGTTATTGCAGACAGAGTATCCAGAATCACTGTGTGGATTTCGAGCTAATAGGTCCACAACTGATATGGTATTTTCCTTCCAACAGTTGCAGGAGAAATGTAGGGAACAACGACAGCCACTCTTTGTGGCCTTCATAGATCTCACAAAGGCCTTTGATTTTGTTAGCAGGGATGGCCTTTTTAAAATACTTCCCAAAATTGGATGTCCACCTCGACTCCTTAACATCATCAGGTCCTTTCATGAGGGAATGAAGGGCACCGTAGTTTTTGATGACTCAACATCAGATACCTTTGACATCGGATTCCAGAAGATCTCCTGTATGGAGAATTACTGCAGCGCAATCGCCCCAGAGGATATCTGCAAGCAGGATCTGAAGGTCTTAGGAATGGATCTCAACAGATGGGAAGCCCTGACATCTGAGCGATCAGCCTGGAGGCAGGCGTTGCATCACGGCCTCTCCCAATTTGAAGAGACCCTTGTCCAACAGGCCAAGGCAAAGAGGCAGTCCCGAAAGCAGCAAAATCAGGGAGCTGGACAGGGGACAGATTATATTTGTCTTCAATGTGGAAGGGATTGTCACTCTCGAATTGGTCTTCTCAGCCGCACTAGATGCTGTTTCAAGTCCTCCATACAGAGCATGTTACCATAGTCTGAAGGATGCCTAATCAATCAGTCACCCATGGGCAAAACACAAAACAAGACATGAAAATGAAAAAAGGATGCTGGGGTTTTTATCCAGTGGAAGTCACTCCATTGATAAGAAGGCACTGTCCCCTTTCAGAAGAGGGAAGGAGACAATTTTCAGTGATGCCCCTTCCTCTTGCAGACCACTTCTGATCTGTTGTTAGTGTGATTTGGGTAACTGAGATTGGTGAGGTGGCAATGGAGAATGAGGGCAGTACAGGAGAAAGAAAATTGGGGGTAGGGAAGCAGCCTAATTTCTCCCTCCACCAGCAAGATGATCCTTACTGAACACGAGCCCATGTATTCCAAATAAAAAAAAAAGATTAACTTTATCTTCCACAAATTACCTCTGACACTTAAATGTGCCTAAAGGATGGCAATTAAAAACAATATGTCTCCATGGCTTCTAGCCACATCCTGATGAAAACATAGCCAGGACTATGTATTAATCGCCCATTCTAGTTTCACCAAAAGATTTAGTCTTCATACTGACCAATAATATGTCAGCTGGCATATTGTTGCCATTGTTGGCAATAATATGTCAGCAATTGGTTTTGTCACTTCAGCTACAAGTCCTAACAGAATCTTAAGAATCAGAGAATCTTAGAATAATAGAGTATTTGTTTGAAAGAAAAGGAATATTGATTTTCCTGCTGTCTGAACTCTAAATTCAAGATAGCAACCCACTTGGGTCTCAAAATAATTTTTTTTGAAAAGGCAGAGCAAAGTTAGAGAGAAATTCTGTAGATAGTAGACTTTGTATTAAGGAAATAGAGAAGCATATTAGGGTTGTATATTGCCTTGTAGCAGTTTAAAATTGGTGTTTTTTTTAATTCAAGGAGCATTGTTAGAATAATGAAAAAGTCTGTTGACCAAAGCAACGTTCTACACACAAAACTTGTTTAATGTAACATTTTCACATTATCTTTTCAGAAGATTTTGAGAAGAATTTTCAAGTTTTATGCCAATCACATCACAGTCCTAAGGGTTTTACAGTACTCAGAAAGTAATGAGTAACTAATACTCTTTGCAACATTTACTCACACAAATTACTTTGGGGGAGGAGGGTTACAACAACATTCATAACGAATTACCTTAAAAACAACTTTCCAAGTACCCAACAGAACAATAAACAACTGAACTGCTGAATAGCTTAATGAGAGATGGCGCGCCACCCCAAATCGACCGGTTTCTTTCCGCGCTTCCATTGCAATGGACGGGAAGGTGGGCCAAGGGCAGGGGATTATGGGAGTTGTAGTCTAAAACTTGTGGAGCGCCCCCACCACCCGCTTCTTGAAGCAAACTGTTATACTCAAGCCACTGACATGCCCTTTTCGCCTTCACTGAATGGATCCTCATGGTTCAGGGAGAAAGAGGAGCGGCTGACTTTCTGCGGTGCTTTTGCTTGTGCTTTTGCTTAAGTCTCTCTATGGATTTTGCCCTCAGCACTCTTAGTTCAGTTTGAGAGCTTTCTCTCCCAGAGGATTTATACATAGAGACACCTCACACCCGTGTACACGGAAGACGGGGAAGATCTCAAGTCTGACGTCCCTCGAAGCCATTTAAAGTTGGCCAGGTGAACTTTCTTCCCCTCTGACAGCCAGTCAGCCACAACAGGACAACAAGAAAAGCCAGAAAAGCTGACGAATTCCCACCCACCCAGGATGACCCGAGACAGCCCGGTCCCTAGAAATCCTGTCGCACCACCCCAAACCGACCCAACCCGTTTCTCTGCGCACTTCCCTTGCAACAGGCAGGAAGGTGGGTGGGAAGGCAGGACGGATGAACAGGGCTCATCTCTCCCTCCCCAGCCAGGTGCGAGGCAGTGCTTCACCGGGTGAGGACGGGGACCCAAGAGACCCTTTCCTTCCACCCGATCCATACTTGGTGCTCCCCTAAGGGAGAAAGGCGAGATGTGGCAGGCAGAAAGAGTGGGATCATCTGGCCACGGCACCGGATCCACTGCGAGTACCACGGCTGCACAGGTTTGCTCACTCCAGCGCCCCCTACCCCCTTCTGTTCCTTCACCCCACGCCACCCCTTTTTGTTCTACTGCCCCCTGAAATACTAAATTGCCCCCTGGGGGAGGCATTATTGCCCACATTAAGAACCACTGATTTAAGCAATATAAACGTAAGCAAAACAAAACATTATTGCTTCTTTAAGACTAAAGTGTGAGTTTTGGGGTATTACAACCCTCTCTTTCAAATATATTGCAAAATAAGTATTAATTATTGAAGCAACATAAAAGTATACAGTATGTTGAAAGAGTTGTTTTATTTATTTAGGCCACTACAAAATGGATCAAATGAACTTATACCAATATATCCGGGATAAGGAACACAGTGTAAGAAATTGAATATAAACAGTATTTATGTAGAAGGGCTTTGACTCAGCTCCATAGAATTCATTATGGTTGATGGAAAATTTGAGCTGCCAGTGTGGAAGCAGTTGAATAATATGAACTTGCATAACATCTCAAAGTTTGTGGGCATCAGCGCAGTTCTCCAAACTGTTCTCTTTCCAATTGAGGAAATATTACAGGTACCCTATAAATGCCTACAATTTTTCACACAGATTAAAAATAAGGAAGGACATGTAGATTCAGGTGTTGACTGCATGTTCTTAACAGGGATTGCTAACTTGTCTCTACTGAATCTGATGCTCCAGTCTGCCTGCTAGTGCAGCCCACTACCCAGTGTGATCTCTCCTTTGCTTTCCAAATGCTGCTGGCATTTTGTGCTGGCATGTCCACTGTTCAGGATTCAGTCATTGTGCCCATGACAGTCATTTTCCAACTGCTGGCTCTTTGTGTGTTTGGCACAATCACTGGGAATGTGTCAAAGGACACAGGTAAATCCTTTAAAAGTGTTTTGCCTGTTTGTTTTGTTTTAAAGGGGAAAGTAATGACTATGTAGTGCTCATATAGACTGTAACAGAGTTCCAGATATCTGGAAATTCTGAATTTTTAAAATTCTAAATTCCAGATTTGTAGGGCTGTAATTCCAAATTTGAATTCCAAATCTGAATTTTGGAGTTAGTGCACATTCCTACTTAAATAGTAACTCAGGAGCAGGAATTTAAACATAAAAACAGCATAGTCCTGCTAAGTCATTATGTAAATTCAAAGACCCCCACATAGATTGAAGGACTGTTCTACCTGCCCCTTTTGTTCATTGGTTTGTGCAAAGAGGCTACAGAGAGAAGTACCTCAGCTTCTGATTATTGCTTTCATGCGTTTGAAAGTGATCCCAGAAGGGGCAGTGCTGAGGCATTTATTCAGTGAGTATGGGCTCTGCACACTCAGATAACTACTGAATACATCTCATTAGGGATGAGACGTGGTGGGGCTGCGGGCTAAACCGCAGAAGCCTGTGCTGCAGGGGCAAAAGACCAAGCAGTCGTAAGATCGAATCCACGTGACAGAGTGAGCGCCTGTCACTTGTCCCAGCTCCCGCCAACCTAGCGGTTTGAAAGCATGCAAATGCGAGTAGATTAATAGGGACCACCTCGGTGGGAAGGTAATAGCGTTCCGTGTCTAAGTCGCACTGGCCATGTGACCACGGAAGATTGTCTTTGGACAAAACGCTGGCTCTATGGCTTGGAAACAGGGATGAGCACCGCCCCCTAGAGTCGAACATGACTGGACAAAAATTGTCAAGGGGAACCTTTACCTTTACCTGATATGGGAGCTAGCAACTCATTTTAACTTTTTTGGGAGATTGTAGCTATGTCTTCCTCACCCTAAGCAGTTGTCTACAACAAGCCTACAGTATGTAGGGTAAACAAGTGCCTTTGTTTAATTTTGTAGAGTCAAAGCTCCAGGTTTCATAAATAACTGGCAACATTCTGTGTTTCTTTCTCTAGGTTTTATGAGAAGCACACAACACACCAGCGGATCCCCAGCACTACCTCGCAAACAGAGAGACAAGTCGCCCAGTGGCTTGTTAGAAGAGACCAGAGAGACAACCTTTACCCGGGACAGGAAGGGTGGTTTCTTTAGTTCTTTCATGAAGAAGAAAAATGCCCCCACACCCCCAAAGCGCAGCAGCTCCTTCCGTGAGATGGAGAATCAGCCTCATAAGAAGTATGAGTTGACCGGTAACTTTTCAGCAGCTGCACCTTTGCAGCATATTGATGGCTTTTCTTTTACCCCCTCCCAGCAGGATGGAAATCTTTGTTCATCCAAATGCTATGTTGGAGGATTTGCACAGCGGAACTTCTGTGGTGATGATAGTGGAGGAGGCAGCAATAGCAGTGGTGGAGGCACAAGCACTGGTAGTGGATGGTCAGGCATCACAGGCTTCTTTACCCCTCGCCTCATTAAAAAGACATTGGGTTTACGAGCTGGAAGGCCTGCTGGTGGTGAAGAAACATCAAAGCCTTTCCCTCGGTCTAATTCAACATCTTCCATGTCTTCTGGTCTTCCTGAGCAGGAGAGAATGGCAATGACCCTTCCCCGGAATTGCCATAGATCAAAAATCCATTTGGAAAGGACTGTGTCTGCCACTTCTCAGCCAGAGGAGAATGCAAACAAGTCCAGTGACCTTCCCAAAAGGTGTGAAGAAGTCCCCACTCTGACCAGAGACAGACCAAAAGCTAAACTTTTGTCAAGAGGTGCTACTGCTGTTCCCCTCAGAACTCCTGTTGATACAGCCATTTCAGAGAAGGAGTGTCCGGGACCAACAGCAGCAGCAAGCCTGAAGAGCAAAGAGAAGAGCAGTGGTACACGACAAGGGTCAGTAGAAGGTGAAGAGAAGTCAAGCTGGCCTTCTCCAGCTAAGGCTGTAGCAGCACTCCCAACCACTCATAACCACAAAGTGCCCGTCCTCATCTCTCCAACTTTAAAGCATACTCCAGCTGAAGTGCAGCTCATTGGCACAGACTCTCAGGGGAATCGGTTCAAGCTCTTGTCTGAGCATCAAGTTACTGCTTCCAGTGACAAGGACAGGCCTAAACGGATAAAACCAAAGTGTGCTCCTCCACCACCACCAGTCATGAAACTCCTGCATCAGCCTCCTGCTTGCCTGGATACAACAGAGGAGTTGAATAATGGAGCATTGGCACAGCAGGAGCAGGAAACCAGTGAGAGCAACAAAAAGTCAGCAATGGCACCTGCCGGGGGGAAAACAGGAAGGCCAATAATGCCTCCACCTCAAGTGCCTTTGTCCTTGTCTTCCACTTCACCTGCCAAAATGGCCAATGGCACTGCGGGAGCCAAAGTAGCACTGAGAAAGACCAAACAGACAACAGAGAGGATCTCAGCAGACAAAATCAGCAAAGAGGCATTGCTGGAGTGTGCAGACCTCCTCTCAAGTGCCCTTGCAGAATCCACCACAAACAGCCAGCTGGTGGACACGGGACACCAGCTCTTAGATTACTGTTCTGGCTATGTGGACTGCATCCCCCAAACACGCAACAAGTTTGCCTTTCGAGAAGCCGTGAGCAAACTAGAACTGAGCCTGCAAGAACTGCAGGTGTCCTCGGCAGCTGCTAGCGTGCCTGGAGCCAATCCTGTACTTAATAATTTATTGTCTTGTGTTCAAGAAATCAGTGATGTTGTTCAGAGGTAGCTGCTGTCAAATAGTCTGGTTAGGAGGTGATAAATGCACACATAGTGGAGGGAGAAGGTTCAAAATAACATCTTCCGGTGTGTGCGTTTTTTCCTCCTATTGATGCTTTTGAAAGAAAAGATGGGATACTTGAGTAAGTTTTATGTGAAGTACCTCAGATCACTGAGCTCTCATGTTTACAGGTTCATCTCAGTACATGGGACAGATGGGAGGGAAGTCAAGCTTCCTGGGGTGGGGGGTCAGATAGCTGCAGCAGAAAAGGGCAGAATGTTAAGAATTTGCCCTTGCCAGAAAACCTGCATCTGCAAAAGACAAGCTTCTGCTCACATTCTGCTTCTGGGAGGCAGTAGAATCAACAATGGGGCCCTAGTTTTGGGAACGGCCTGCTGTTCTCTGTGATGCTACCCTGCTGACCAGAATTATTTGAGAAGAGTGAGGGCTATTTTTCTGCATTACTGCATGCTTTGACCTCCTGAGATCATGGCAAAAAAAGATTCAAAAACTCCACTTGAACTGGAGCTGACAAACCTTCCAGCAAGTGAGAGATTAGTTTTTGTGAAGGTCCATTCTGTTGAAATGATGATTAAACCTACAGGAAGTGGATGCACTAAACCATCTGGCAGAATTTCCACAGTGCATTTGCTGCTGTAATCAGAGATGCAAAAAAAGGAAAGGAAAAGAGAAAGAGAGGGGAAAATGGACTGATGTAGGGAACACACCCCATTTCGTTACCCTCCTCACATCTTTTACCACCAACACATCAACTTTTTCAGAGCATCTTGGGTGATGGTTGGGCAGTTTTGCCACTGGATTTCACACTATCTCAGCCACACTCAAATTGGCTTTCATCGCTGTTCTGGTAGTGTAGTGTGGATACCTAATCTGGCATTTGCTTTTGAGTAGTTTGGGGATGTGGCACAGACTTACCAGACATTGTTATTTTGTCTTGTTTTGACCTTTATCACAACATTAGTTCTGTCTTCTTTTATAAATCTTGGGGGCCACCCTGAATTAAAGGCATTGCATAATGCTGCTTCTACTGCTTGTCTACATTCCTTTTTAAAATCACTGTGCTGACCCAAATCCAGCTGTTTCTTGAGGGGACCCAAGGCAATAATGTCTACTATTAGGATTAACAATAGGGTTGTGGAGTACCTAATCAGGGATATTTCTATACCATTTATATTCCAGTCATGAGGTTTTGCCCTATTCACAGTTTCAATACATGATTTGGTTTTTCAGGAGATGCCTGAAATATGTAGCGTTACTGGAAAGGAGCAATGCAATAGGGTAGAAGAAGGCTATCTCCCTCATTGCACACATCTGAAAATTGTTACGTAGCTTAGGAAGCTTTGAGTTCAGATTGGGATGTCAACAAACTTTCCATGGTGGTAGAATACACCAGCTCCCTTTTCCCGTTATGCAGACAGTGTTTTTGTAGCAAACATTGGGTTTGCAGTTTCCTGTTGTCCTTTTGAATGGGGAGTGTTGGGCAATCCATATGGAGAGTCTGTAATAATATTACATTGTTTGTACAGAAGTATTGAAGGATGCCTCCTCCATCATGCAGACTACTCTTACCAGATAAATGTACAACGTATGCCTTGGTTACTCATTTACTTTTTAGCTGTTCATCCCCCTGAGGCAATTCTCAGCTTTAGAAAATATTGACTTGCTGGACTTTATATAGTATTTATGAAGTCCACAGCTTGCTGCTATTCATGGGACATTTGTTTAAGGAATGCAAGAACCTGAAACCTTTCTTGTATTCGGTCTACTGTGTAGAAAGTTTTCCCTCAGACAACTATAATCCTGTAATTGCTGAAGTTATTGTACTGAAAAGTTAAGGCAAGTTGATTTATCCTAGTGGATAATATGAATTTTAGGCATAGGTGGTGGCACCCAGACGCCTTCATTAGTTAAGGATTTTTCCTTATCCAACCTCTTGTCAGAAATCTACAAGATGGATTACAAAACTTGGTTGTGCTCCTACCTACATTGCTTGGCAAGAAGTATGTGCTAGGAAGGGATGTGTCTGTGTATGAGAACTGAATGGCCCTCCCTCCTGTTCCATGGCAGAAAACCAACCATTTGTCCCTGTATCTTCTCATCTTTGTTAGCAAAATCAGTCCTTTTTTTCAGGGACTAATTCACAGTGCACCTTAAACTCTCCATAACTTGGCCTTTTTTAATTTAAAGTGTTGAAAATTAAATTGTAATACTATGCTGCTTATTTTTATATTGAGCCCTAAAAGTGGTGGAAGGATGGCAGTTTATGTGTCTTTGGGACTTTTGTTCTATGAAAAGCAATTTCTCCCAGCATTTATTGGAGAACTAGAATTATGCATATTCTTGCTCCTCTAAATGGATATATGGTTTTGAAAAAGTAAAAGGGACCATTTGCTTTAAGCTGTAGCTAGGTGAGCTAAATGAGGCAAACAGAGATTAAGAGCCAGGCTGCATGGTATATTTATCAAATACGAATAGCTATGTGTAAACAATATCCTGAGCTGGGATTTTTCGGGCTTTTTGGCCGTGTTCTGAAGGTTGTTCTTCCTGATGTTTCGCCAGTCTCTGTGGCCGGCATCTTCAGAGATGACCAGAGTACAGGTTGCTGTCCTCTGAAGATGCCGGCCACAGAGACTGGCGAAATGTTAGGAAGAACAACCTTCAGAACACGGCCAAAGAGCCCGAAAAACCCACAACCACCATTAGATCCCAGCCGTGAAAGCCTTCGCGAATACAATATCCTGAGTCTTGAGAATATTGAACATTCTCTGAGAGACAAGCAGAGAAAGCTGCAAGAGATTTTAGGGAAATAGACAGGGAAGTAAGAGCCAGTAAATATGTTTCACCCTTCATTAATACTGTACAGTACTTATATCTCTTTTCAGTGGCAAACATTTCCTACAATTTGCGAGAGAAAAGCAGGAGCAGGCAGCTACTAAGCAGGGACAAGTTTGGCCAGTGGCAAAATATTGTAGCTTGGAATGCTTTCATTTCAGAATTCCATTTGCTCTGTTCCCTCATGTCCTATTTAGAAAGGGGTGAAAATAAATGTGTGAGGCGGGGAGTACGCTAACCCTGTTCACTTTGCTGTTATTGTCTTCATTTGGAGGGTGGCAGTCTAAACAGGCAAACCTCACGTGTGTATGGAAAGTCTCATGTGACTGAGAGGTGGATTGTGTGGAGCTTTCCTTGCAAAAACTGAAGTAGTGGGGGGTACCATATATATACATTTAGGGATTTCCTTTCGCTCCTTTGGGTTTTAAAACTGAAGGCACCTGATAATTCTCCTGTATGTGTATGTGCTGTCATTTTGATTCCATAAGCAGAAATGTGCAGAGAATTTAGGTTGCTGTTACCATGTATGAGAAGGACAGATAGACACTGGTCTTGCTTCCATTGTATCATTATAATCTCTTTTAGCTGTTTCTAGCTGAGGGAATTCTGTCACACCATATTATATGCAGTTGTCTGGCACACACTCCTGAGTTCAACTTGCCAGATAGAGCACTGTCAAATTTCATGGTGATCTTCGTTTTTCCTGGGACAGATTTTTTTCCCCCTGAATTCCAAATACCTCTATCATAGTTCAGTATTCTTTACCGCTGAATGGAATTTTATATTTTGAAGGGATGTTATTTTCTGTCCTGATCAATTCAGGAACTAGTAAGTACCTTAACATACAGGCTGGCACTGCTATATTCATGACAGATGTACAGACTGCATTCACTCTATATAAAATAAAAAAAGAAGAAAGGTATGTATGTATGTAACTATAAAAAAAATCAGTGACATTCAGTTAAAAGGTCATGGTCATGAAAAGTTTTTTAAAAGTCGCAGTTGTATAGAGCTTAAGTCTATACATGCAAAGAGTGGTTTCACCCATACTGTAGGAGCCGTGGCCCCAGTACTCTAGGGTATACTCCACTAACCCCTTGTTTGGGCCCCTTGTCTGTTACCACTCCTGTGTCTGTTACAACAATTGTGTTAGCAGCCCTTCTCCTGCCAGTTTGGTTTTCCTGTATCGCCTACAGCAGTGACAGGGCCAAGGACATAATGGGAAATCCTGAATGTTGGTCAGAATGGGCCAGAATATGTTTTGAAAAGGCAGTTAGATTGTGAAGGAGCCCTGAGGAAAGGGGGTTGTGGCAGCCCTCAGAGGTGAACATCCCAGAGGTGTTGTTCCACTGCTGCCAATTTTGCATGGAGGCCACTGTAGCTGCTTCAACAAGATACGTAATCCTCCACTCTCATCCTCTTCTAAATTAGCCCGGACAACAACTGGATCTTAGGTGGAAACACTGTACAACAGTCACTCTCATGTAAAGTTTGAGTTTTCAGGCATCAGGACTGGAGCATATTTTCAAATGTGTAGCGTAGGTTCTCAGAGGTGACTGTTTAAATATTTGTGATTTCACCAAATGGTGCATTATGAAGTACAGACAATACAAACAACTCATCTTTTGAAAAGTTTATCCTGGATGTCATTTAACTTTAGCAATGGCAGCCAATATATATTTTTGGGAGGGTTGGACACTAAGCTATTCCTTACATAATTATAATGCTCAGCTTTAGAGCAAAGATGAAGAACATGTGGTTCTTAAGATGTTGCACTATAGCTCCCAGTTTTCCTTCTCCATTGGTAAGACTGTGCAAGACTAGTAGCAGAACAATATTTGGAAAGCCACAGACATTTCCCATCCCTGCTTTCATGAATCTGATCATGGAAGGAAGCAAGTATTGATTTTTCAGTCCCTCCCTATCCTACTTGTCTGCAATGGTTGTCTGCAGACTCAGGGCAGAGCAAGCAGTTCTCAACTTGACATTTTCCTTCATGTCTTTAATATCTTTGCTAGCATAAACTGTGGGTTGAAGGCAAAATATTCAGTCCCCCTTCAAATGATTTGTAAAGTGGAACAGTTTTGAAGGAAATGTATTGTGAGTACACTGCACCACTGCTCATAACTTTGGAGATTGGAGTTCAGCATTTCTGTAGTTTCTTGATAAGATCTACAACATATCCAAAGGAGACAGGGTCCTCTTTATACCTGGTATTTTTCTTTAACTGTCACAGTATACATGGCATAAATGTACTTGTGGCAATTTACCATGTTTAACATTTGACATGGCTCTCAGGGAAACGTATGTGAAACTGGAAGCTGGCTGTTTTTCATTATGCATTTCCTAAAGAACACCTTTTATAATCAAGTGGAAGATATAGAGTAAAAGGCTGGCTCATACACCTGCAAGCAATAGCAGAGACTTGGAATTAGTCTTGCCTACTTGGATGTTTTCAACTGTACTTCATATCATATTTTTGATTCCTTCCTTCTCTTAACACAAACATGAGGGAGTTTTGTATGTCTGTGGTATTCTCAGAGTTCAGTGGTTCTTGGCTCTTTTAAATGAAAATATTAAATCTGTTAAAGTGCTATTTTAGTTTTTCAGAAATGAGCTCATTATGAGCGACTGCTTTTTTGCCAGTTTTTTTTCTTTCCAGCCACAAACATTATTGGGGGCTACATGGTGAATTTCCTTGCAAAATCCACAACAGAAAATTTTAGTCTAGACAAATATGCATCTTTTCTCTCTTCAGGATGCAATTCCGTATTCTGTCCCTGACTCTAGTTGCAGACTTGGTAGTTGACTCTACTGTAATGTAGTGGCTCAAATACAGAGAGAGACTATGAAAGCTTATAGAAGGATAGGTCTTGTATACAACATGAAACAGCAGCAATGTTAGAATCACAGGCTATGTAGAAAGAAATCTGAGGTCTTTGTAGAAGAAAGGAAACTATGACCAGAAACTCAATCCCCGTTTTATTTGCACTGTCTTTGCTTGAAATGTCTACAGTCCATGGCAGGGTGGTGAAATCAGAGCTTAATATTTGTTTAATCCCTCTCGTGAGAGAACTGTGCCTCCTGAATCACTCTTAGTGCAAACTTTGTATGGCTTGTAGATTGCTTACTGGCTCAAGTTTGTAAGTAATCATGGCACACATATTTTGTTTTTGGTCATCTCTTATATGATCC